ACCTCCTCTCTCAAACCTTTATTACAGTTTTTGGATTGTCACAAAACTATTTCCCACAGGAGTGTTCAGACTCAGCCTGTTGGTTTCATAGTTGTTAGGGGCTAGAAGGGACCTTTACAGATCATTGGGTCCAGCCCCCCTGCGCTTGGGCAGGAAAGACTGCTGGGATGACCCCAGCAAGTTGGGTGTCAAGACGCTTTTTGAAGATCACCAGGGTGGATAATTGTACCTTTCTGTATGGCTATGTAGTGGTTATTTAATTCCTATTTTAGTACGAGCTTATCTTTCTGTTAAATATATAATTCTTGCATCCTAATTGGAGTAACTTTTAGTACCCCTCTAGAGGGGTTTTGTGTCCTTTCTGAAAAAGAACTTTTAATACCCCTCCAGAGTTCATTGTGTCCTTTCTGGAATGTTTTAGGAAATAAGGGACATGTTTCTAAATAGCACAAAACACACTGCTGCTCTGCTCTCCACTCTCTAGAAGGGCTTCCAGTACCCTGCGGCACTTTACATGAAATTAAACAAAAGTACACTGTCGGTCCTCCGTGCAGTGATATAAGAGCATTTGCATTGTAAGAAATGATGGATTTTCTAACGACAAAAGCATTGCATAATATTGACAGACATGTGGTAGTTGCAACTGTTTCTCAGACTTTATGGCCACACTGGTTAGTTTTTAGATTTTTGTGGGAGCTTGAGACTGAGCTGATGTTTACAAACTGTTCTGTTCAGCAAAGCATACAACATTTTACTTGCCCGTATAACAGGGGATTCAAATGACATCTTTCTCTCCTTTTTCCTTGTAGGCTGTCTGTGTCTCAGCCTTTTATACCAGGCTCCACACCCACATCTATTAGCCAACTATCTTCATTCCAGCAATATGGTCCTTCTCCAACGAGTGCACAGCAGCTGACCAATCACATGGCAAGAATGACAATAGGCAGTGTTCCAACCTCAGCTGCTCCCCCAGCTGGACTGGGCTATGGTGAGTTTCCTTGGCATGGATGGTTGTGTATGCATGTAACTGCTTTTGGTCTAGCAGAGCCATTCTAGCATCGCAGTGACTTGCTTCTGATAGGGTGTTGCGATTCTTTGAACATTTTGCTACTGTGTTAAATGGTAGATATTTCTCAGTAATGGGAAGTGAATTGGAGAAAACATAGCTCTGAGCCTGTTGCAGTTAGTGATAAGTGGTTTGTGAGGCCATAGATGATAGCTGTAACCTGTCTAGCTGGATAAAAGCCTTGCAGAATCAGAAACAGATCACTTCATGAGTAGTGATATAAATTCTGCATATATTGGCACTGCTTGTGAGAGCTTGTTGTAGAAAAAGGAAAAGCTTTTATGCAGGCCGTCAGTTCTGAAATTGGTCTGAACAACATGATGATGAAATAGTCCATTATCCTGCACTGAATGATTTCATTGGGCATTCCCAAATAGATCAACAGTAAAAGAGTTCAGCAGAAGAAAATGGTAAACCTGGGTAGTCTGTTTCAGTGCTGTCACTGGAGTTTAACTTAGTATTGTCAATGTAGAAAAAATTGAGCATAGCAGTGGAATTGAATGTTTGCTGTGGGCAAATGGCTTTCTGTAGCAGTTAACTTCTGAATTATCTTGAAAAAATTAAATGTTGCTAAGCCTGTTTCATACTGTAGCCTAGTCGCACTTTCTATTTTTAAGTAAACAAGTGAGAAATATACAGGTTCTACTGTATACACTTGATAATAGCAGTCTTTCTCAAATTTTCTACTGAAAATAATGTGGTATAAGGCAGGACAGAATTATCCATTTCAGTGCAAGCAAAGACTTGAAGTTAAAAACAACCTGCCACCCTTTTTAAATGTGTCTCTGGTACATATTAAGATCCAGAGCATTTACCAGTCTGTCTTGTTTGATACAAGAAAGATCAGTGGAAAGAAAATGTTTTGTGTAACTTTTTCTTTTTCCCTTTTTTGTCCTTTTGGAGTCCATGGGAGAAAAGGAGATATACAAATTCAAATTCTTTGTAGAAGCTTAACTTCCCTCCTCTCCCCTTACCTGACATTGAGAAGGGAGTTTAAGGGGAGTTTGTCTGTATTTAGGAAGAGATCATAGTTTGACAGGCTGAGGAGGTTTGATGTAGCGTTCCAGGTGGGGTAGAGTTTAGGATTTTGTATGTTTTCTCATTGACTCCAAGTTGGATTGATTTGTATTTTAGAATATGAAAGGAACTAGTCACAACAATTTGATTTCTTTGCCAGGTCCCTCAACATCGGTTCCCCCAGCCTCAGGAAGCTTCACTGCGACAGGATCTGGTCTCTATACACCTTACTCTTCAAGCCAAGGACCTCCTCCTGCTAGTATGACCCATGGATTGCCTCCTACCAGCCTGTCTCAGGGTGTTCCCTTAGCACAGCCAGCTTTTTCTGGTCTACCACTGTCAATGCAGCGCCTCCCTAGTCAAGGCCCTGGCTATGCCCCACCTCCCTCTTCTACAGGGATTGGACCTTCCAATTATCCTTCTACCACAGGGGCCCCAAGACCGTCAACAATGCAAAGCCCACCATTATCTGGACAGGCTTTGGCTGGACTACCTGCATCCCAGCCAAATCACTTGTCCTCACCACCACCTCAGCAAGCCATGTCAGGGCCCCATCCTGGGCCTCCAATGACTGGCCTCCAAGGACCACCACCACCTCCCACACATCCTTCCCAGCCAGGATACCAAATACAACAGAATGGTAAGTCAATCCAGTGTACCTTCTATACTTGATGCAAACTCATGGCTGGTCTGAATCAGTGAAATGTTAATCTTTCAGTTATCTTAAGTAAATATAAAGCAGAAAGTAGGCATCTAACAGAAATACCAATGCTTTGGGGGTTTAATGCGTCTCATACATATCTAATTTGTATGTGAGGGAGACCCTGAGAGTGGTTCTGCAGTGTGCGCCTGGGACCTCTGCAACCTGTATTCATGGTCTAATTCAGGTTTTCAACCTTTTTTTAACAGGTGTACCCCCGGCAGCTGGATGCTGGTGGGTGGTGGCACTTTGTTCCCGCATACTCTGTAGGGTCTTCCCAACTACCCCCTCCCCGGGGGTGCATGTACCCCTGGTTGTCAACTCCTGGTATAATTGCTGGGCTTAAGTGTGCATAGACTGGAACAAGTGCTGGGGCTTTTGTCCCTTGCTGAGCCCATGAACACTGTAAAGCACTGTAGAAAGTTTGTGTCTGATTCCCCCCCCC